TTGCACATCTGCACATCAGGACTGTGCAAAACCAGCTGCCCGGGGCTCTGGGAGGAACAGACGAAGTGAACAAGTTGACAAGCATGGTGACAGGTCCGAGGTAGATAAATGTCCATCCCATCGAGGCGCCTCAGGCAGGCTGCTTACCTGCTGCGCACCCGTCTCTGGTGGGTAACGCTCTGGTGTCCTCACAGGTGGTCCACAAGACCCTGATTAAAGTGGCCGAGACAGGCACCGAGGCAGCTGCTGCCACGGGGATCAAAGTTATTGTCAAGTCCATAAAAATTCCAACGATCACTGTGAAGTTCAACAGGCCCTTTCTGTTTTCCATAGTCTCCAAGGACACCCAGAGCATCATCTTCTTTGGCAAAGTCACCAACCCCAATGAAACTTAGAGCCTTCTCCATGGGGTGGGCATCCCCACTAAGGGCACCCGGTCTCTGGGTGCAGCCTGGCCTCTGTGCTCCGAGGAGCTGGCGGGGCTGGCCCTGCCTGCTCATTTTTGGGAAAGTGACAGTGACTGCCTGGTGGCTTCTATATGCACAGGAAGTCTGTGGAGTGTTATCTGGAGGCTCTGGGAACACCCCCCCCACACACACACACACAGCAATAAACCACCTTCCTTGGACTGGGCGTGTTCCTTGTGCCATGCACTGCAGCCGCCTGTGCCCAGGGCCAAGCCTCCCGGTCTCCCAAATGGGCTCAGCCCCACTGCCAGGCTCTGGGCCCCTCTGCCTTCATCTTCAGCAGCTTGGCCAGGACCAAGCCAACCTGGACCTCAAGCCCAGGACTAGGAGGGGAACCTGCTGCTTCTGGTTCCTACTTCTGGTACCCAGCTCCAGTGTCACTCTTTCCCTCCCCCTGGATCTGGCCATGTGCTGACCCTTGCTAGGGTTCCTGACGCTGACCACATCTGGCACAACCTCTGGACCCCTCGCTCCTGCAGCTGAGCTGGGCCTTCCTTCTTCAAGAATATCCTCCTTCAGCCCCCAGGTAACCTCAACCTGAGGAGAGTGGCTACTTTCCAGGTTCCCAATTCTGAACCCTCCCCCTGACAAATGGTCCCCCCAGCAACCTGAATGAGGGTCTGGGAGCAAAGGAGCAATGAACATACCGCTGCAATCAAAGCAATCAGGCACCCGTTCACTCCACTGATGTGGTCTGAAACTGCGGGGCCTCCAGAGATCACACAGCAGCAGCGACTATGTCACAGCGGCGAACACAGGGTTGAGATTTTCCTGCCAGGCCAGCTGCTAAGACTCATTTAGTACTTGTGAGGACCTATGAGATAGATGCTGTTATTATCCCATTTTATAGATGAGGAGACTGAGGAGCACAGGCTCAGTAATTTCCCCCAAGGCCACCCAGCTAGTAATTATTGCCAGCAGGATGCTATCCCAACCTGCTCCATGTCACATACTCTAAGCCACAAAGCGATTCTGCCCTTAAAGATTTTCACAGTGGTGGCCCTCATGGGATTTACAGTCTGATGGGCAACATAGATGGTGAAACAAGGCTCTGGAAGCTGAGACTCAGAGAGCACCAAACTCAGTCAGGGAAGTCAGAGAAGGCTTCCTGGAGGAGGTGACTTCTGCAATCAGAAGAAGAGTAGAAGATGGCTAAGTGAACGGAGAGGAGGGTGTTCTGGGCAGGAGAAAGAGTGACGGGGGCATTTTCAAGAAACTGAAAGAAGTTGGGCAGGTCTGGAAGAGGGACGGATGGAGGGGCTGAGGAGAGGGGGGGGCCATGATGGAGCCGCTGGACCGCTGAGGTCCCGGCAGCTCAGTAAGGATTCTGGAATGGTTCCTTAGAGCCATAGGCAGCCTTAAAGGAGTTTAAACAGAGAGTGGATGTGAGCAGATTTGCACACTAGAAAGACTCCAGCTGCTCTGTCGAAGTGATTCGGGGCCCAGGACAGGGATGCGGGCTGTGCATTGAAGGAAATGGGGCAAAAATGGGCCCCAGCTGGAGAGAGAGAGAGTGGGGACGATTCGAAGGTTGTGAGAACCAGTGTGGCGTGACGAGTGGGGAAGAAAGGAGAAAAACCCGCATTTGGGCTTGGCTCCTGGTGATGATGACGGACTCCCTGAGACAGGGCCCCAGGAGGAGCAGCTTGCGGGAGAAGCTGACACATTCAGGTCGGGACACACTCAGAGCTCTCCGGGTCCCGGGAGACAGACGAGGAATCTGCTCAGGACTTCAGGAGACACAAATCCGGGCCATAGGGGGCAGTCAGGATTCGCCCCCCGGGGATGGCAAGAGAGCAGTCGGGGGAGGTCCCCTAAAATGAGTTCCCTGGGGGTGAGAAGAGAAGGGCAATGCCCCACTGAGGGGTCATCTAAGAAAGGGCAGCTCACCAAGGAGACTGGGCCATAGGGAGGGGTCCCGAGGAAAGTTGTCACCCCAGGACCAAGAAAAGAGTACCCAAGGGGACGGGGTGGGGCCTAGGGGTCAGGCAGTGGGATGCAGCAGTCCTTCGGTGCCTACAGTGTCTCCCTGCGGGTGATCCACCCACCCTTATTTGCCTTAATAATAGCCCCAAGCATGAGAGCAGTGATGTGGGCAATTCAAACATGCCAAAGAGAAGCCGTAAAGTCCTTCCTTTAGGGGAAAAGGTGAAAGTTCTCAACTTAAGAAGGAAAAAAAAAATCATATGCTGACATAACTAAGATCTCCAGTAAGAACGAATCTCCTGCCCTGGCTAGTGTGGCTCAGCTGGGCGAGGGTCCTGTGCACCAGAAGGCTGTGGGTTCGCTTCCCAGTCAGGGCGCGTGCCCAGGCTGTGGGCCGATCCCGGGTCAGGGTGCGTACGGGAGGCAACCGATCGATATTTCTCTCTCACATCAATGTTCCTCTCTTTTTCTCTCCCTTCTTGTCTCTCTAAAATCAAGAAAAATACCCTCGGGTGAAGATTTAAAAAAAAAAGAAAGAACTGGGTGGGTGTTTATCCAGGCAGTGGATGAAGAGAGTAAAAATAAAGTAGTAATAACCAAATCTGGGAGAAATTAAGCCTGGCTCACACCCATTAGCCCATGTAAACACTGTCTCTGCACTCGGTCTGCAGGACACCTTTGACCCTTTCCTGCCACCAAGCCAGCTCAGGACGGAGAAGGTATTTGAGTTGCAAAAGTTTCGCAAATACTCTTTCTGTTGAGTACATATCAACTTTTCTGTTTATGCTGCTTTAATCGGCGAGGTCTGTTGATGTTCCTGAAGAACTAGTCATTGCAATTTGGAAAACACTGAGCAGAATGAACAGCAATCATGGCATTTTAAAGAGTCATAGCCCAAGAAGCTCTGTGGAGGCGAGAACCGGGATTTGAACTGCGTCCTGTGTAGAGCAGCGTCTATTGGGAAGTGGGTGCCCGTAGATGCGTGTCAGGTGGAAGAGTGGAACCAAGAGAGGCTGGAGTGTGGCTCCAATGAACTCAGCCTTTCCCTGGATTTAAAGAATGTCCACACGTGTCACTAGATTTAAACTTCACGACAGCCTTGAGTGGTAAGGGGGGCAAAGGAGGAATCTGAGATTCAGGAGAGAGTCTAACTGTAAATAGTGATGGAATTGAGACTCTTCCCTGGGACACCAGCCCCACCATGCTCCAGAGCTCTTTCCGGTGCATGGATTTTCACACAACCCGAATAGAGGGGCGGGTTGTTTTCCTCGCTGTTGATTGTTTTGAAAATTGACATTGGGCCAAGGGCAGCCTCAGTGCTGTCTATTAGTTCTGTTAGACTCCAGCCTGTTACAATCCTCCCTGCAGGGACAAATGTCTGTGTCCGGGGCCACGCAGACCTGCTGAGTCTCTCCAGCTCCTTTGAAGGTTCACAGAAAGCATTTGATTTTCAGGTGAGTGTGGGGCTGCGGATGGGGCTGCGGGTGGGGCCCCCAGCCAGTGTGGTGAACCTGCCACAAGTTACCTCATCACAAATCACACAGGTGCACATACACACTCAGAAGCATGCACACATGTATAGACACATGCACCCCTCCTCCTCCAAGAGCTGTGCATACAGACCGCAATCTGGAGTGGTGCTGGCTCACCCTGCTCCATGACCTTGAGCATGCTCTTCTCTCTGCTGAAACCCTTCTCCTGGCTCTCTCCTGATTTCATCTTCCAGTCTCAGTTCAGGGGCTACCTCCTCCAGGGAGCCTTCCAGGAACTCCCTGGCTCCTGCAGGCCCCTTGTTCACCCTATGTAGGCAGTCACCTCTGACTGCCATTGCTCAGGGAGTTGTAATCTCTGCATTTCTTTCTCCCAGTGGCTGAGAAGCTTCTTCTAGACAGGGCCCGGGCTGCCAGCCCGTCATGTCCTGACTGCCGAATGTTTGTTGAATGAGTCAATAAGTGGATGAACAAGCTTCTCTCCAGGTAGGGAGAGAAGGCCCCTGGTGGTGCAGGGAGGAGCCCTGGCCACCTGGGCTCGCTCAGCTCAAGCTCTGCTGTCCTGTAGGAGCCCAGAGACATTGGTCTAGTTCTCTCATCTGCACAGTGCTCGAATTGGATCATGGCATCCTGTCAGCTCGAAAGCTCTACGGCTGGGGGGACCTGCCCACATAATGTTCTGAATGAATTCTGTGTGCCTGTCCCCAGTGAACCCGAGTTCCCTGAGGGAGCAACTGTGTCTCATCCATCCTGNCAGTCAGGGGGTTCCCATTTCTTCCCAGGCCCAGGCTTCCACCGCACCACCATGCCTCTCCCCTCTTTCCCTAGCCCCCACCTCCCTCTCCCATTTCCTGTGCCCAGATTCCTGTGGGTATCTCACTGAGCACAATTAACCAGGTCTGGGATTCACAGCCCTTTTTCTGATCCTTGCCTGTGGGGCTTCCCCATCGGCCAAGGTGTTCTTGCAAACCGAGGCCAGGTCATTCCTAGGAGGAGCTGTGGATGGGCTGTGGGGGTGCGGAGTGTCTGCACGGCCCAGGGAGCCGGACGAGGGGAGGGATGGAGACAGGGCCGCCCTCGCGTTCACAGAATTCTCCCACGGTTCCTCTGCCTCCAGCCAAGTGGGAGACGCCCTTTGACCCCCACGATACTTTCCAGTCCAAGTTCTACGTGAGTAAGGGGCGGTCAGTGAAGGTGCCCATGATGAGCTTTGAGGACCTGGCCGCGCCCTACTTCAGGGGCGAGGCGCTGGGCTGCGCGGTGGTGGAGCTGGGGCACGCCGGCCGCCACAGCGCGCTCCTCGTCCTCCCGGACAGGGGCCGCACGCNCTGCCCCAGCGCAGTCTGCCGGGGTGCTGTGAAATCTCTGTTGGCCTGAAGGGGTTTCCCACTGCACCGCCAGCTTGCGGGGGAAGGGCAGGACCAGGTGCATGAGCTGCCCCAGCCCTGGCACACTGCAGGGCAGGAATGCATAAAGAATGAATTAAGAACAGCCAGCCAGTGTGGCTCAGTTGGCTGAGCCTTGTCCCAGGCACCAAGAGGTTGCCTACATGATGCCCACAGTGGGTGTGCAGGAGGCAGCCGATCAATGTTTCTCTCTCATGGATGTTTCTAACTCTCTCTCCCTCTCCCTACCTCTGTCTCTCTAAAATCAATAAAATACCTATTTTTAAAAAAAGAAAAAGAAGAGTAAGCATGAGGGGTTAAGAAAGTGAGGAAAGAAATACTCATTTCCAGCCAGAAGGGGCTTGTCGGAGAGAAACAAGGGAAGACCACACTGTGAGGTGGGAGACAGGTGGGCACCGAGTCAAGCTGATGCTCACATTTATCTTTCTCGTCTCCAGAAAATCGATAGAACTCTACCTGCCCAAGTTCTCCATCTCCAGCCGCTATAATCTGGAAGCCATCCTCCCCAAGCTGCGCATAAGGAAAATCTTCACCAAAAAGGCCGACCTGTCAGGAGTCACAGGGTCCAAGAACCTGACGGTCTCTCAGGTGAGCCTTTAGAGTGTGGACAAGTCACCCTCCGTGTGGGAGCTGGAAAGAAGGACTGGCAGACGTTGGGGAATTTGAATTTCCATACAGATTGCATTTCTATTATCCAACCACCCCTCCTGGGACTCCGCCCAACCCAGGGGAGCTGGGATCTAAGGGTACTGGGGACAGGTCCCCAGCTCCCTGTAGTGTCATGTGACAGAAGCCAGTCATGGGGAGGAGCCTGGGGTGGAATCAGCGGTGGACCCACCCCACCCACGCTCCACCTTTTGCTGCACATAATTAAAGTCTCCTTCCCCTCAGTTTGTTCACTGGCTAAGCGGGGTGCTAGGTCCTGGCTTGTGTGCAGTGCCGGGCAGAGCAGGTAAGAGGCAGCAGGCAGTAACCGTGGCTATGCGGCAATTGTGATGAAGACACACTAAGAGGATCAAGACCCTGGGGAGCCTTGCCCTGCGGTCCTAGAAGCAGAGGAGTCAGAAAGAGGAGCCGCTGGGCAGCCCTTCCCCTCCTCTGCACCCCACTTCCTAAAGAGGGTAGCAATGGATGGTCAAGTGCAGGGAGCCCAGGGGTGGGGGGACTGTGTGGTCCAAGAATGTGAAGCCACATCCTATGCAAACTAGTCGAAGGCCCAAAGACATTAAAGCTGGGGCAAGAGAGGTGCGGAAAGCAGGGCCAGCCCATCCCGTGAGGCCCTAAGAAGCACTGGCATCAGATGCTTCGAGGTGGAGGGGCAGGGAAAGGCCCTGGCAGGAAGATGCCTCGCATTGCCCTGGCCCCTCCTCCTACAAGCGCAGGTATTTGGGTTCAGCCTCTGGGCTCAGACAGAGAGGAATGTAGATCAGGGTGCCTCTGCCTTTTACCCTAGCAGGTCACTCACAGCCCCGAGCCTCAGTTTGCACATCTGCACATCAGGACTGTGCAAAACCAGCTGCCCGGGGCTCTGGGAGGAACAGACGAAGTGAACAAGTTGACAAGCATGGTGACAGGTCCGAGGTAGATAAATGTCCATCCCATCGAGGCGCCTCAGGCAGGCTGCTTACCTGCTGCGCACCCGTCTCTGGTGGGTAACGCTCTGGTGTCCTCACAGGTGGTCCACAAGACCCTGATTAAAGTGGCCGAGACAGGCACGGAGGCAGCTGCTGCCACGGGGATCAAAGTTATTGTCAAGTCCATAAAAATTCCAACGATCACTGTGAAGTTCAACAGGCCCTTTCTGTTTTCCATAGTCTCCAAGGACACCCAGAGCATCATCTTCTTTGGCAAAGTCACCAACCCCAATGAAACTTAGAGCCTTCTCCATGGGGTGGGCATCCCCACTAAGGGCACCCGGTCTCTGGGTGCAGCCTGGCCTCTGTGCTCCGAGGAGCTGGCGGGGCTGGCCCTGCCTGCTCATTTTTGGGAAAGTGACAGTGACTGCCTGGTGGCTTCTATATGCACAGGAAGTCTGTGGAGTGTTATCTGGAGGCTCTGGGAACACCCCCCCCACACACACACACACAGCAATAAACCACCTTCCTTGGACTGGGCGTGTTCCTTGTGCCATGCACTGCAGCCGCCTGTGCCCAGGGCCAAGCCTCCCGGTCTCCCAAATGGGCTCAGCCCCACTGCCAGGCTCTGGGCCCCTCTGCCTTCATCTTCAGCAGCTTGGCCAGGACCAAGCCAACCTGGACCTCAAGCCCAGGACTAGGAGGGGAACCTGCTGCTTCTGGTTCCTACTTCTGGTACCCAGCTCCAGTGTCACTCTTTCCCTCCCCCTGGATCTGGCCATGTGCTGACCCTTGCTAGGGTTCCTGACGCTGACCACATCTGGCACAACCTCTGGACCCCTCGCTCCTGCAGCTGAGCTGGGCCTTCCTTCTTCAAGAATATCCTCCTTCAGCCCCCAGGTAACCTCAACCTGAGGAGAGTGGCTACTTTCCAGGTTCCCAATTCTGAACCCTCCCCCTGACAAATGGTCCCCCCAGCAACCTGAATGAGGGTCTGGGAGCAAAGGAGCAATGAACATACCGCTGCAATCAAAGCAATCAGGCACCCGTTCACTCCACTGATGTGGTCTGAAACTGCGGGGCCTCCAGAGATCACACAGCAGCAGCGACTATGTCACAGCGGCGAACACAGGGTTGAGATTTTCCTGCCAGGCCAGCTGCTAAGACTCATTTAGTACTTGTGAGGACCTATGAGATAGATGCTGTTATTATCCCATTTTATAGATGAGGAGACTGAGGAGCACAGGCTCAGTAATTTCCCCCAAGGCCACCCAGCTAGTAATTATTGCCAGCAGGATGCTATCCCAACCTGCTCCATGTCACATACTCTAAGCCACAAAGCGATTCTGCCCTTAAAGATTTTCACAGTGGTGGCCCTCATGGGATTTACAGTCTGATGGGCAACATAGATGGTGAAACAAGGCTCTGGAAGCTGAGACTCAGAGAGCACCAAACTCAGTCAGGGAAGTCAGAGAAGGCTTCCTGGAGGAGGTGACTTCTGCAATCAGAAGAAGAGTAGAAGATGGCTAAGTGAACGGAGAGGAGGGTGTTCTGGGCAGGAGAAAGAGTGACGGGGGCATTTTCAAGAAACTGAAAGAAGTTGGGCAGGTCTGGAAGAGGGACGGATGGAGGGGCTGAGGAGAGGGGGGGGCCATGATGGAGCCGCTGGACCGCTGAGGTCCCGGCAGCTCAGTAAGGATTCTGGAATGGTTCCTTAGAGCCATAGGCAGCCTTAAAGGAGTTTAAACAGAGAGTGGATGTGAGCAGATTTGCACACTAGAAAGACTCCAGCTGCTCTGTCGAAGTGATTCGGGGCCCAGGACAGGGATGCGGGCTGTGCATTGAAGGAAATGGGGCAAAAATGGGCCCCAGCTGGAGAGAGAGAGAGTGGGGACGATTCGAAGGTTGTGAGAACCAGTGTGGCGTGACGAGTGGGGAAGAAAGGAGAAAAACCCGCATTTGGGCTTGGCTCCTGGTGATGATGACGGACTCCCTGAGACAGGGCCCCAGGAGGAGCAGCTTGCGGGAGAAGCTGACACATTCAGGTCGGGACACACTCAGAGCTCTCCGGGTCCCGGGAGACAGACGAGGAATCTGCTCAGGACTTCAGGAGACACAAATCCGGGCCATAGGGGGCAGTCAGGATTCGCCCCCCGGGGATGGCAAGAGAGCAGTCGGGGGAGGTCCCCTAAAATGAGTTCCCTGGGGGTGAGAAGAGAAGGGCAATGCCCCACTGAGGGGTCATCTAAGAAAGGGCAGCTCACCAAGGAGACTGGGCCATAGGGAGGGGTCCCGAGGAAAGTTGTCACCCCAGGACCAAGAAAAGAGTACCCAAGGGGACGGGGTGGGGCCTAGGGGTCAGGCAGTGGGATGCAGCAGTCCTTCGGTGCCTACAGTGTCTCCCTGCGGGTGATCCACCCACCCTTATTTGCCTTAATAATAGCCCCAAGCATGAGAGCAGTGATGTGGGCAATTCAAACATGCCAAAGAGAAGCCGTAAAGTCCTTCCTTTAGGGGAAAAGGTGAAAGTTCTCAACTTAAGAAGGAAAAAAAAAATCATATGCTGACATAACTAAGATCTCCAGTAAGAACGAATCTCCTGCCCTGGCTAGTGTGGCTCAGCTGGGCGAGGGTCCTGTGCACCAGAAGGCTGTGGGTTCGCTTCCCAGTCAGGGCGCGTGCCCAGGCTGTGGGCCGATCCCGGGTCAGGGTGCGTACGGGAGGCAACCGATCGATATTTCTCTCTCACATCAATGTTCCTCTCTTTTTCTCTCCCTTCTTGTCTCTCTAAAATCAAGAAAAATACCCTCGGGTGAAGATTTAAAAAAAAAAGAAAGAACTGGGTGGGTGTTTATCCAGGCAGTGGATGAAGAGAGTAAAAATAAAGTAGTAATAACCAAATCTGGGAGAAATTAAGCCTGGCTCACACCCATTAGCCCATGTAAACACTGTCTCTGCACTCGGTCTGCAGGACACCTTTGACCCTTTCCTGCCACCAAGCCAGCTCAGGACGGAGAAGGTATTTGAGTTGCAAAAGTTTCGCAAATACTCTTTCTGTTGAGTACATATCAACTTTTCTGTTTATGCTGCTTTAATCGGCGAGGTCTGTTGATGTTCCTGAAGAACTAGTCATTGCAATTTGGAAAACACTGAGCAGAATGAACAGCAATCATGGCATTTTAAAGAGTCATAGCCCAAGAAGCTCTGTGGAGGCGAGAACCGGGATTTGAACTGCGTCCTGTGTAGAGCAGCGTCTATTGGGAAGTGGGTGCCCGTAGATGCGTGTCAGGTGGAAGAGTGGAACCAAGAGAGGCTGGAGTGTGGCTCCAATGAACTCAGCCTTTCCCTGGATTTAAAGAATGTCCACACGTGTCACTAGATTTAAACTTCACGACAGCCTTGAGTGGTAAGGGGGGCAAAGGAGGAATCTGAGATTCAGGAGAGAGTCTAACTGTAAATAGTGATGGAATTGAGACTCTTCCCTGGGACACCAGCCCCACCATGCTCCAGAGCTCTTTCCGGTGCATGGATTTTCACACAACCCGAATAGAGGGGCGGGTTGTTTTCCTCGCTGTTGATTGTTTTGAAAATTGACATTGGGCCAAGGGCAGCCTCAGTGCTGTCTATTAGTTCTGTTAGACTCCAGCCTGTTACAATCCTCCCTGCAGGGACAAATGTCTGTGTCCGGGGCCACGCAGACCTGCTGAGTCTCTCCAGCTCCTTTGAAGGTTCACAGAAAGCATTTGATTTTCAGGTGAGTGTGGGGCTGCGGATGGGGCTGCGGGTGGGGCCCCCAGCCAGTGTGGTGAACCTGCCACAAGTTACCTCATCCCAAATCACACAGGTGCACATACACACTCAGAAGCATGCACACATGTATAGACACATGCACCCCTCCTCCTCCAAGAGCTGTGCATACAGACCGCAATCTGGAGTGGTGCTGGCTCACCCTGCTCCATGACCTTGAGCATGCTCTTCTCTCTGCTGAAACCCTTCTCCTGGCTCTCTCCTGATTTCATCTTCCAGTCTCAGTTCAGGGGCTACCTCCTCCAGGGAGCCTTCCAGGAACTCCCTGGCTCCTGCAGGCCCCTTGTTCACCCTATGTAGGCAGTCACCTCTGACTGCCATTGCTCAGGGAGTTGTAATCTCTGCATTTCTTTCTCCCAGTGGCTGAGAAGCTTCTTCTAGACAGGGCCCGGGCTGCCAGCCCGTCATGTCCTGACTGCCGAATGTTTGTTGAATGAGTCAATAAGTGGATGAACAAGCTTCTCTCCAGGTAGGGAGAGAAGGCCCCTGGTGGTGCAGGGAGGAGCCCTGGCCACCTGGGCTCGCTCAGCTCAAGCTCTGCTGTCCTGTAGGAGCCCAGAGACATTGGTCTAGTTCTCTCATCTGCACAGTGCTCGAATTGGATCATGGCATCCTGTCAGCTCGAAAGCTCTACGGCTGGGGGGACCTGCCCACATAATGTTCTGAATGAATTCTGTGTGCCTGTCCCCAGTGAACCCGAGTTCCCTGAGGGAGCAACTGTGTCTCATCCATCCTGCTTCCCCCGTGTGTAGCTCAAGTCCCGACAGACTTTTGGTCAATGTTTGGTCAGTGAGTGAGTGAGTGAATGAATGAATGAGTGAACAAATGAAGATTAAATGGAATAAGGAAATGAACTCTCCATAATCTCTTCATCAAAGCCAAGATACTCATCACAGCAAATTACCAGGCAAATGGAGACCTGTCTGTTCTCTGCCAATAAATCGATGATACCGAACAAACTTGGCCCACAAGGCTTTCCTTGAGGCCTAGTCTCAGTTGCTTCTCCCCTTTACAGACAAGAGAACTCAGGTTTAGGAAGGTCCAGGGCTGCCCAAGGTCACATGGACAAACCAGGGGCGGGATGGGGTGGTGTGATGATGATTAATTCTGTCAATAATTACCCAAACCCAGCGTGGACACGTGGGGCCAGCTTAGGCCCTTACTAAAATAAACTCTGGGGTTGACTGGGATCTGCTGAGTCGGAATCGCTAGAGGGGAGGCCTCAGTTCTCCAGGGTAATAATATCTGCTGCTTCCCGGGGTCCTGTCCTGTGCCAGGCCCTGGGTGGGGTCAGCTTGGTGCGCGATTGCTGTGAAATTCTACAAACCTGGGAAGGTTCTTAGCACCATCCCACAGAGGGGAGGTGGAGGCCCAGAGAGGTAAAGTGACTTGACCAATGTCTTCGGGCTCCTACAGGACAGCAGAGCCTGGGCTAAGTGAGCCCAAGTCTCCAGGACTCCTCCTTGCACTGCAAGGGGCCTGCTGCCCCTTCCCCCCTCTAGGAGTCCAAAAGCAAACCCAAGGTCACATCCTGGGATACCGCAGAGCCAGGATTTGAAGAGGCTCAGCTGGAGGAGGGGCTCAGAGTGTACCTGAGGAGACCCACTCTCTGTGTGTGAGCAGGAAGTAGGCGAGCTGGGAGGGAGGGGACACAGGGCAGAGGAGGCCTTCCCAGGCCACCGAAGCAAATGGAGAAGATTCAGGGGACTTGAGACCTGTGGCCTCTGGATTGCTGCCCCTGGGGACAAATAGAGCTCCCACATGCACTTGGGGACCAGGCGCTCCCAGCAGGTGCACAGCAGATGAGAGCTTCTGTTCAGACAAGACGCCTGCTTGGGCATTCCCCTCATCTCATCATGAATCCACCCCCCCCCCCAGGCTCTGGATTCAAGTCCTGACTCCACCACCTACCAGCTGTTTGATCTTGGGGGGATTACTTAACCTTTCTGAGCCTCTGTTTTCTTATCTGTCAAATGGGGGTGTGAAAATACTGGGTTGTGGTGAGATGAAAAGAGGACATGCCTGGGAAGTGTTTGCATAGTGCCCGGGGCAGAGCAGACACCCCTGAATATCAATGATTACTATTACTCTTGTCCTTGTTGTTGTTCTCCATGCCTCTGCTTTCAGGCCGAGGATACCAGAGGATGGAGGCCCCTCGGTGGTGGCTGCTGGTCCCTGCGCTCATGGCTGTGGGTCATTGTCTGGCCCTGGTTCACCAAGAAGACTCTGATCCCATCGACCCCAGCCCTGAGGACAATCCTCCCGGGCCTACCCTGCCCTGCCACAAGCTTTCTGTGAGCAACATAGACTTTGCCTTTGACCTCTACAGACAGCTGGCTTTGGACGCCCCTGGAGAGAACATTCTCTTCTCCCCAGCGAGCATCACCTTGGCCTTGGCCACGCTCTCCCTGGGAGCCCCTGTAGCCAATAGGGCCCAACTTCTAGAGGGCCTGGGGTTCAACCTCACCATGCTGCCCGAGGCCGAGATCCAGGAGGCCTTCCAGGACCTGCTGCTCAGGCTCCCTGCGCAGGACCCCCAGCTCCTCCTGACTGTGGGCCAGCGCAAGTTCAGTGGCCTGGGCCCTGGAGCCCCCCAGGACCCAGTGGGGGCCCAGAAATGCATCCACGAGTATGTGGAGAAGCAGACGCAGGGGAAACTTGGGGCCTGGGTGGAGGAGCTCAGGAATGAGACTGCAGCAGTCCTCGTGAATCACGTGTTCCTTAGAGGTAAGAGGGTATATATATCCAACGTGGAATCTCTTTTCAGGGACTGGGGCTCCAATCACACTGCAGCCCCGCTCCTCACAGCACCCAGAAGCTCCCCTTGCTTACTTAGATATAGGAGGTCCACTGAATTCTTGATGTTTCTGCTTGAATACCTCCAGTGACGGGGAACTTCTCACCTATCCCATTTTAATGCTACTTGTTTTTTTCAAAGAAGAATTTTCCTCCAACTTTAGTGTGCATAAGTACTCCCTGAAGAACTTGTTTAAAATGCAGATATTCTGCACTTGTGCCCAGAAGAATGATTTAGCGGTAGGTAAGTCAGGGACCCAAGGCCCTGCATTTGAATTGCCACCAGGTGATTCTGCTGCAGGAGGGCTGTGACCTCCACTTTGAGCAACCCTGTCAAGGAGCAAGAATTCCCTTCCTCTGGCAGGTCCCAGAAGGTACGGGTTAGAGCAGGGAGAACTCCTAAGACAGGGAGACCTTTTATTTTTTCCAGAAGAGCCAATAGGATCATACGCTTCACTTCTCAATCACACTCCCTAATTCAGCAGATGAATCCAGGGCTCTTCGTATTTGTACAGTGTTTTGCGGGTCTCGAGGGGTATTCACACCCACCCTCTCGCCTGGATGAAGCATATAAGGCTAAGATTAATGTTTCCATTCACAGGTGGGAAGACAGATTTTTTTAAAAGAAGTGATTTGCCTGAGCCACTATAGCATTACTCAAATACGTGCCTGTGAACATTTATCATGTGTTTTATGTAAGCGTGTTTGCACACACAGGTCTAAATATGAAGTCCCTGATATCATGCCTGTCACTGTGCATGTTTAAGTTTTATTGAATTCTCTTTCCAGCCCAACAAAGTGATACTGTTATGTCCACTTGAGAGGTGGGGAGACTGAGGCACAATGTGGGGTAACTTGCCTTAGGCCTGCAAGCCAGGCTGAGCCTCAGCTTCAGATCCGCACTCGTTTTCAGAGCAGCTTGTACCCCCAGGGTTATGAAGCTGGGCTTGGTGTCCAAACTGTGGACTCCCCACCCCCACGGGCTGCCAGGTAGGTGACCCCCGAGCCCATTCTTGATTCTCTCTGAGGTGACGTCGCTGTTTCTCTCCCGCTCAGCGGGGTGGGCGCGACCCTTTGACCCGAGCGCCACCAGCCCGAGGAAGTTCTTCATGGACGAGCGCCGGAGCGTGCAGGTGCCCATGATGAAGCAGAAGGCCCGTCACCGCTTCCTCCACGACCCCGAGCTGCAGTGCACCGTGCTGCAGATGGACCACGCCGCCAACGCCACCACCCTCTTCATCTTCCCCAAGCGGGGCCGGCTGGGGCAGCTGGAGGGCGCCCTGCTGCCCGAGGCGCTGATCAAGTGGGACAGTCTGCTCAGGGCCAGGTAGGCTGCTCACAGCAGGGGCCCGGGGAGACGGCCCCCTGCCTCCTTGCTCAGCCACCATGCAGCGCCCTCAGCGATTGTCACCCTCAACACACTGTCACCTCCCAGATCACTGTCACCCCAAGGCACTGTCACCCCCAAGGCACTGTCACCCCAAGGCACTGTCACCCTAAGGCACTGTCACCCCCAAGGCACTGTCACCCTAGGGCACTGTCACCCCCAAGGCACTGTCGCCCTAAGGCACTGTCACCCCCAAGGCATTGTAACCCTAGGGCACTGTCACCCCCAAGGCATTGTAATTCTCAGGGCACTGTCACCCCAGGGCACTGTCACCCAGGGCACTGTCATCCCAGGGCACTGTCCCTGGCCTCCCTGCAGGCATCAGGGCGAGACCTGATCAGTTGCACTGGCCCAGGAGTCTAGAGGCTGGTTCTAGTCCCAGCTCTGGTGCCAACCTGGGTGACCCCTTGACGAGCAGAGTTCCAGCCCCTAAGCAGGGGGCCCAGGACAGGTGTTGAATGGAAGACAGTGTGCACTTTAGAAAGCTCTCTCTCTCCTTCCCCCTCTCTCTCAGAAAGGAAGGGCTGAAGGGGCAGAGAGACCAGAGGTGCGAGTGAGGGTGAGAAGGCTTTTTGGGGGTGGAGGTGCCTGTGACACATACAGGACCTCTCGGGGTCTCAACAGCAAACCAATTCTCTCTCCACAGAGAACTCGATTTCCACTTCCCCAAATTTTCCATCTCCAGCACCTCCAGACTGAAGCTGCTCCTCCCACAAGTGACTGTGGGCGGAGGCCTCCCCGGGCAGCCTGGCCTGAGCATTTCCAAGGTAAATGGGTGGTGGTGGGGTCTCCACACTTTGGGGCAGAGGCTGGAAGAAGCCACCCAGTATCTCCTTACACACAGGCTGCCATTTTCTACAACTTTGCACGTTACCATCTATTCTCTGCATTTATTCCACTCTATCGCACACCAACCACCACAAGACACTGGGGTCCCAGGGGAATCAGCCCCCGCTCCTGCCCTCGGTGACAGACAAGGAGAGGGAAGGCAGGGATGGGTGCACACGCAATCAGGGCTGAAAGTGCAGAGGAAGCTTGGGCGGGGGGGGCATCATTCCTGATCTCGGGCCTGAGGGAGAAGCTGTGTAAAGAAGGGACTGAGAGGAAACATGGGGACAGCCTTGGGGAACTGAGAGTCCCCCATCTGGGTGGAGCTGAGGCCCTAGAGGACTCCAGAAGCCACACGGATGACCTGGGACTTTTTCCTGAGACACACTTGGGGTTTTAAGCATGATGGTACTTGTGCTCTAGAAGGATCTAGAAAGATCTGTGGGGGAGACACAGGTCAGACCCAGCCCTAGAGGCAGAGAACAGAGGGAAGTGTTCAGAGCTGGGGGCCTAGGGGTGAATCGCAGGAGAGGGAGAGTGCATGGCTCCCGGGCACCACCGGCCTCACCTCCATGCCCCTTGTAAGGTATTCACTGAGCACCGCTCTATGCCAGGAGTCATGCTGGGATCTGGCAGCACATTGGCGAGGTCTGTGCTGTTGTCTCCATTTCATAGATGAGGAAACTGAGGCCAAGAAAGGCTCAGGAAATCACCCCAGGTCATGACTGCTAGTTAGTGTCAAGCCAGTGCCTGAACCAAGCTAATCGTTGACCATCAAAGGCCCACATTCTTTTTCTTGAACAGCTCCGGGCCCCGTGGCCTTGTCCCACACATTCTAGAAGGGGCAGTGGAGGGTGGGTGAGGGAGTGTGGGCTCTGAGGTCAAACAGACCCCAGTCTGAGCCCTGGCTTCGTCCCGTCTGGCTGTGTGAACTCAGACGGGGCTCACCACCTTGCCGAGCCCCAGGCGCTTCACCGGATAACTGGGGGCCCGGAGCCCTGTTTGAGGGGAAAGGAACTTGTCCAAGATACATCACCCGGGGACATGTGGAGCCAGGCCCTCTGACTCCGGGTTAGGTGGCCTTCCCGGACAGCGGCGGTAACGGAGATGACGTGCTCTTAGGGGGAGGAAGGTCCCAGGCGTAGCTGAAGTTCAGGGACAGAGCAGTGGGCAGAGCAGGTCTGACTCAGGGCGGGAATGGGAGGCCCAACAACCAAAGAAATAGATACATACCTCGGGGGGCGGCAGGAAGTTCCACACCCAAAGGGGACGAGAAGGATAGGTGGCCCGGTAGATGAACAAATGGTTAAGTACGGGGCTAAGTAAGGGAATTGAAAAAAATCATACAAAAATGAAGGTCTGGTTGATCCCTCCTGTAGGGTCAGTTGATGATTCCGGAGTTTTCCCTGCAGGTCACTCACAGGGCTGCGATGACTCTGGATGAGAAGGGCTCTGAGGCTGCGGCTGCCACCAGCATCCAGCTCACTGCCGGGCCTCACCCCGACCCCGACACCACACCCGCCCCAGACACTGAGTTCAACAGGCCCTTCCTGGTGATGACCTTCCACACAGACACAGGGAGCATGCTTTTCCTGGGGAGGATTGTAAACCCCCTGGGGTAATGCGCTGGGGACCCCGAGAGGGAAGTAGGGGACAGCGTCAGCGTCCCAGTCTCCCTGTGGCCCTGGAGATATCGCCAGGGTATCTGTATCCCTTCTTCATCTGGCAGCGAGATGGGAACTGTTTCAAGGGGGTGATGGTGGCAGGTACCCTGGTGCAGGTTTCATCGCCATGAGATAACCCCTGGCGCACATGCCAAGGGCCCCTGCCAGAGGATCATGTTCCTGAGACAGGGCGACACCCTAGTCTGTAGCGTGATTTTCATGGGGTCTGTGGGGTGAGGGTAGGAGAGGGATCAGGCTGTGCACTGAGTGGACATCGGCTATGTACCTGGTGCGCTGTATATTTTACCTCATTTTAAAATTAATTCCCACAACCACCTAACAAGATAAGTACTAGGTTGAACCGTATGAAATTGATTACATTTGGCCTTCATATGGTTTCACCTAATATTATTTCTCCCTTCGTATAGCTGAGGCTTAGAACTTAAGACATATGCCCAAGGTCGCTCAGCTGGCAAGTAGCGTGGCTGGGGTTCAGGTGTGTTTCATATCAAAGCCTGGACTCTTTCCATTTTCACTCATTTTGCTAAATCAGTGATTTTCCAACTTGCTGTGTGCACAAATCCCCTGGCATCTTAGGGAAAAACCATACAGGTTATGATTCAATAGGTCTGGGCTGGGGCCTGAGGTCCAGCCTTCCTCACAAGGTCTTGGGATGCTGAGGCTGCTGGTCAGGTGACTGAACTGGACCAGCTGGTGCTAAATGCTCTGTCCCCATGACCAAAGGAGGGGCCAAGGTGGTGCGGTCAGCAGGCAGAGGAGTGGCCCCGGCCCTCAGTGCATCCATGGGGCTGAGCAGATTGGGCAATACCTTCTGAAGCCTGCTGGCAAAGCTTGCTTTAGGGTCACCTAGTAATGAGCATTTGGGGAGGAAATAAGTGTCCTGAATAAAGGCATTTTTTGCCCATTTTAGGCATATTATAGGGGCTGTGTTCCATGTCAGTCACTGCAACTGAGACCTAAGCTGTCACCTGGCTCCTGTCCCTGCATCTCCAGCTGCACAGAAGGGAGTCTCACAGGCCTTAGGGCCAGACCACCTGAGACTGAATCCCCTCCCCTGGCTCTCTCTAGATGCCCATGGGGAGCAGCGATGGGGACTGTAGGCAGACACAAAGAGCCAGGCCGAATAATAGTCAAGGGGCTGCAGTGACCTCATTTTACCTTCCTTTACATTTACTGCCAGAGATAAAACTTGCTGATTTTTTTTTTCTCTTCTCAAGTGAGAAGGTGTCAAAAAAGCACCAATGAGTCAGCGAAGTTGGCTTCTCCAGAAAGGGGAGGCCCAGAGTCACTGAGTGTATCCCCTAAAAAGAGAGCTGAGCAGCCCCAAAGGACTGGAAAATGGGTGTTTTACCTTTGTTTTGTGTGTATTTTTTAAAAATTTATATTTATTGTTGAGAGTATTACAGGTGTCCCATTTTTCCCCCCCAATTGACCCCCTCCACTTTGCTCCCAACCCCTCCCCAGGCCTTCACCCCGTTATTAACTGTGTCCATGGGCTATGCATATAACTTC